TGTTTAAGGCTTCTTCTAGTGCTGCCCCGTTATTCACGAGTGGCGTTTCTAGTGGCGGTGCAACCCTGTCGGTCCCAGGTAGATTCGTGCTGGTCGAGATCCGGGCCTTGACTCTCTGTCTCGGCGTCTTTTCCTTATCTATTTCAGGATCCGATAACGCGTTGCCTAGCCCTCTGGTTCTACTCTCTCCAGTTTGTAGCTCTGAACTTGTCATAATCGCGAAGTCTTCTGACTGGCCCGGTGTGTTTGCCTCTTTGCTTATCGTTGTCACTACACCAAATTTGTCCATGGTTCCAGTCTCTCTTCCGACGTATGCCTCATTCTCCTGGATCGAACTATTGAGGCTGACTTGAGATCCAAAGTCCCCTTGCTCCTCTTCATCCTCTTCCTCCTGGAATTCAACTTCGTTTCCTGCGCCTCCTCCCATGGTGAATGGAAAGATGTTGCTGAAGGTGTTCTTAATTCTTTCTGAGAACGATGATGACGTTGTTTGTTTCCCAGTTCCGCCTGCCATCATAGTGTTGTCTGTCGGAGATCTTCTCGTTGCCGCTACTTCAGTTGAGATGTCGGACAATTCCGACATCTCTTCTCGATCCAGTGTCCCGATGGAAGTGGCAAAATCATGGCCTTGTTCTACCGGAGTAGATTCACTTGCCAGCCTTTCCACCTCTCCCTTCCAGTCCATGTAATTCCTGGTTGTCGTTCATGGCATGGTCCGTATTGACCTCCACTTCTAACAGTTCTTTTTGCTCTTCTGAGGTCTTCTGACTTCTCGTTTCAACCATTCTGCCTGAAACCGTTTCCCCTTTGTCGGACCGGGATCGCTTGATCCAATCCACAGAAGGAACGGTCATCATTTTTCTTTGCTTTTCAGGTATGAATTTCCTAGAGCTATTACCTATTTTTGGTATCCTTGACTTGTCTAGTCTCATTCTCTTAATGCCTATACACTTAAATCGATTGCTATTGACCTTATAGTTTTATTAACAATAATAATGACACAACACAATAAATTTCACAAGATTCTATTAAATAGTGACCACGAATCCCTGTATGTTATCAGTGTACAGTTTGTGTAAAATTTATTCACACTAACCGATTATCGGTCGTATGATTTGAAAACTAGCACAATATGATGTTATCAGTCAATTTAAAAGATAGTGTACTCACTACCCAATCAAGCACAGTTTATGTAGATTTAAAATCAAACAAAAAATATATATTTAATGACAGAATATGAATACCTCTATGAAAAAAAAACGTATGTGTAATGTACTTTTAGTCGGTCGCAGTACAATAGTCGAACTTGTCTTTTAAAGAAAAAGCTTTCCCTGCTCGGTGCTGCACCAAACAGACAAAACTTTGAAGGCAGTAATTTTCTCAAGTGGGCGTCTATTGCACCCACCGAGTACTGTGTTACCTATCTGCCTTCGGACTGCCCGAGCTAGACCTACTACAATCCTCAGGGCAGTCACTTTTCACAAAAACGTATTGTGTTACAATCCACACCAATGAATTACGCTCTTTTTAGTTTAGACTTAGTGTCGCGAATATCCGAGTTCGGACCTGTTTTGTTTTGGTCTGGTTTTTATTGAAAGGCAAGTTACCAGTGCAGTCACTGATTCCTAGCCTGTCTGCTAATAACCTAATAGCTCTCACTTTAGTCTTTATTTCGCCTACCTAAGTCCTTTAATAAAATAATACCCCTCCGGATTGGCACAAATAGGACCCTTCCAGACTAACAAAATCTAAACCCTTCCGGATTGGGACCCCTCTGAGTTGGTTAATATAAGACCCCTCCGGATTTGGACCCCTCCAATTTAGCAACTATAAGACCCCTCCGGATTCGGACCCCTCCTTATTTGGAAAAAATTTTTTGACCCCTCCGGATTGGGAGCCCTCCGGTTTTGTAAAAGTAGCTTTTCGGAGATTTCCTTCTTTCAACCTATACCCTTCCGGATATGTTCTCCGATGCAATTTTGCTTTTTCATTTAACTAGGAAGGGTATGTACTACTTTCCTAGACCCTTCCGGATTGAAGTTAAGCCTCTTATTTGACAATTCACACTAACGGTGAAGGGTCTTATCGCTCGCCTAACTTCGGCTCGATTAAGGTTTTGCTGTGCCCCTAGCCTTCCCTTTTCGTCTGGAACAGCCTAAAGTTACATTATTCAACCGCTAATACCTTTTGGTAGGGGTATAAGGGCTTTTCTAAAAGAAATTTACAAAACGTGAAGGGTCTACCTTCCTAAATTGGTGAATTTGCTAAAAACAATCTCAAAAAATTTTCTCGCTTACTTTTCCGAAAAACTACTTTGTCCCTATCAGTAAGCTCAGCTAATTTCTGATCTATTGGTACCAAGATCAACTCGATATGCCTAGTAGTTCTAAAGTTATTAACCAAAACGTCTTTTCTCTAAACTCAAAAATTTTCTCTCTTATAGGTTCCGCCTAACTTTTTCCACAAATCTGGTCGTTTTGACCTAAAATTTATTGATCCGAGCTCAGAAGGCCTATACTCTTCTAGTTCAATGAAAAAGACCCGATCTAAAACGCTTTAGTTGAAAAAATTTGCGAAAAACTATGCTACCTGTACCCCTCCGGATTGATGAATCCACCAAATCAAACACGTTAACTTCGATTTCTCTGCAACCCGGAAAGCTTTCGGGTAGTGGGTTTTAAAATTTGTAGATTCACTAGTGGACGTTGTCCGAACAACTATTTTTACTGTTCTAACTCAAAAATTTCAAAAAATGTTCTGAATTTTTAGTGTTTCGTTTTCTCAAAAATCACGAAATTTCGGTTTTCGGTACCAAAATAGTTCCAACCACTTTCGAACTAAACTTAACCGGTTCTATGTATTATGGTAGTGCAGTTACGATGTAACACACTAACTTAGCGCTTTTTTCCGTTTCAAAAAATATCGATATTTCAAAAATCGCGACTTGTGGGGGGATCAAAATATCGCTATTTTGACCCTAAAAACCGGTCTGTTTTCGTTGTTTTTCACTGAAAAACGATATAAGACTATTAATATAGGCTTTATAAGTAATAATATTAGTAATACTAAACCCCTTCGGGTTTGTTTAATATCCGAATTAAGGTGCTTAACTCGGATATTTGCAGTTCGGTGAAGGGTCACTACAGTGCAGCACTGTCGAGCCCCCCACAGATTGCTATCTTAATTTTTGTACCAAAAGGGATACAAAACTTGTTAACGATACCCAACAGTCGATTGTTGTTGTCGTTGAGCCCCTTCTTGTTGCTCCTTGTACTGCTTGCCGGATCAGTCTTCTCCCAAGACCCCTCCGAATTGAGCGCAATTTATCATTAACGTGCTTAAATGCTCAAATAACCCTACAGTACAAGCCTGACAAACGGGCTACAAAACTGATCGTAACGATCCTGACTGATATAAATGCCTGTAAAAACAATATATCTATCAACAACAAACGGGAGGGTCGGATCACATCTTGTCTGGGGGGATGATTTCTACTGATTTTTTACTTTTTTACTGTTTTTGGTTTTTTCGGTTATTTTTTTTATGTTTTTTGTTTTTCTTGGGTACTATACTACTTTTTGTTTGGTTTTATATATATCTTTAAGTGTTTTTGGTCACGAACCATTCAGGAAATGACGGGACCGCGAATCCCCCCACCCTTCCTGGTTCGTGAATTTTCGGTCTTAACTAGGTTAAAAAACGTTTCACGGTAATCCGGAAGGCTTCCGCGTTCCAAACTACCCTTCCGCCCCGGTGGTTTAGGCCTGTTACGGGCGTTTATGTGAGCATCCGCTCGGCGCGGAGTGCTCGTTAACGGTTCTGCCGGTCATGATGTTAAAAAAGAATGACACCCAGGAGCGCCATAAAAACATGTATGTAACATTCGCCCGGAAGATACATATCGACGGAAAATAAAACTAAGTCCTAAGACGACTGGCTAACGTCTCAACAGAGCTTTATATGCTTTTCACCGTCTCTACCAAGCCAGTACTTTTCGGTGGTCTTTTCTAACATCGGGTCAACAAAAACGTTACTGCTTTCGGCTTCGGTCAAAACACTCAAATTAACTTAATTACATGCAGAAATAGTGAGCTTATGGCTGGGTCTCAGTATCCCCAGACCACGAGGTCACTCCTAAAAACAGGGCTACTACTATTTATTATATTACTATTGTTTTTGTTCAGTAGATAAAAATCATCATCTCCATCGAAGATGGATCAACCCTTTCCCCCAACTCCTAGCTTCTCATCCCTATCAAAATGAATCCAGTTGTTAATTAAATTCAAATCAGGACATGACAAGAAGCTAAAAGTCTATATAAAAGGATAAAAGTTTCAGTTCCGAAACCCTTCCGGATTCTTGAATCCACTGAATCAAGCACGTTAGACTTGGCTTCTTCGTAATCCGGAAGGCTTTCTTCCACCCTTCACCGTTATCTGCAACGGCCTTGCAACTATTGTAGCGACACAATAGTTGCAACTCGGAGTGCTCTCTGTTAACTCCGTGATTTGTTGTCGTTTTTTCTCACAATTTCCGTACTTCTCGTGATCGCAGCTAATGTTGTTCTGTTTTTCTTCGACCTTTTTGCCAAAATGGCCGTTTCTGACTTTTCTCAGAAATGTTACGTAATCACTTCGAAAATTTAAAAATTAGCAATTCCCGAATCCTTCACGTTTTGTCCCATCGTTCAAATAACGTCGTTAATCCTTTAAAATCACTAATTCGGAAGGCTCGCTGCTAAAATTTCGAATTCCGCAGAGATTGCATTTTTTCACATTCTGGTCGAATGTCACACTAAACAGTTGGTCAACCCGTTTTTTTTTTCTTAGTTACCGCTCGGTATTTGAATTTTTTCAAGGTATTTCTTAAGCAAATTTTTCAATTTAGTTTGTCAAAAAAAATCCACTTCCTTCTTTTTATTCACCTTCTGTAACGCAATTTTTTTGTTGTATCTAATTGTTGTGAAGGTGAGCTTCGCCTCTATCAATGTCTTCAGTTGAGTATTTTCAGATAGATCTGAGTGGCTGCCCTTTCTCCAGCAATTAAATATGCTAGCCGCGCCCAAAAGAAAAAAGAAAGTTTGTTCGATCAACGCTCAGAATAAAAACTGGTACAAGGAGCCGGATCACTTTGGGGCCAAAATGTTGACTAAAATGGGATGGACCGAGGGGAAAGGACTGGGTGCAAAAGAGCAAGGTATCCGCGACTATATTCGAGTGAACCAGAGGACGAATAATACTGGTGTAGGATTTGATCCCTCCTCGCTGAACAAAGTAGCTTTTCATATGGTAGGCTGATTTTATTTTCATAATAACATTTATCTGGGAACAAAGCAATTAACTGGTGATCTAACAGTTAATTACCAGTTAATGTGTTAAAGAAAAATTGAGTTAGCTATTTGGTAAAAAATTAGACCTCGTTGTTTTTGGTAATTTTGTTAAATGTTGATTCTTTCCAAAATGCATGCTAAATTTTTAGAAACAACTGAGTATTTAGATGTCTGAAAAGGTAACTGTTAGAACTAAAACCAAGTAAGCATAAGTTCAGACACAGTTTTAAGGAAAAAGTTTGATTGCGATTGATTGCAGGTGACTGGCTCTGTGAAAATTATAATTGGAAAACTTGCAGTTTATCAAATTAGAAAATTTAATTAATTGTCTACACTTGCAAAAGCAAGTGTCTTCTAATCGGGAAATATACTTTTTCCCGTTAAATTTTTCATATACATTTTCAACTTGCTTTATTAATTAAATCATAACAACTTCCAGGTTCTTTCGCACTTGGCCTAGAGTTAACGCCGTCGCCTTTGCACACTAAGGTCCGAGTTCGAATCCCGATCGGACCTTGTTTGTTTTTAAGAGTTATGAACGTAGTGAAGACTCATATATAGATCTTGGTGATTTTTAAAGGTTTTTTATAGGAAAAAGTCTTAAAATTTGTTCACGCTCAGTTTTGATTTCTTCTCGTTTCCATTGCTAAAAGGAAGGAAAACTCCACTATCGAACTGCAAAAGTGTAAATGTCACGAAAAACGTGATCCATTTCTGGTTTAGAAAGTATTTAATAATCAGATTTTCCAGCGAAATAAACTCTTTACGCATTGATTGAGTGCTTGCATGAAAAAATTGTCAGTAATAAGTTGTTCTAGAAATTCAGGAAAGAGGTTTAAGGCCATCTATTTTGTTTCGAAATTCGTTGGCTAGGTTGTTTTTTACAAAAAACAAGTCAGTTTTTGTCTGTTTTTGCGTTCATTAATTTTTTCTAACCGTCAGTTGGCTATGTTGCAGTAAGTATGCAATTGAAAATTTCTTTCCGGTGAAAATTGATTTGTCGGACTTTGGTTTTTCAGCTCAAGTTTTGTCGGCTTAGCTACCACTGTTTTTTTATTGTACTGTAATCAAATACCATGCTAGTCGCAAGTGTTGTTCATTGTAGCTTCAGGGTGACTTGATAATTATTAAAGTTTTTTTTTCATACAATCATTTTTTTTCAGAAATTTTATCTACTCCATGATTGTTGACTTTGTTTTCACTTCATAAGTTTTGTTTCGTTGCTAATTTAACATTCAAATGTTTTGCGTAGACTTCCTGTTTGATTTATATTTTTTGAGACCCTTAGGAAACTTTTTGCGAAAATTTTTTGAGAAATAACTAAGCTTTTGGGCAAACTCCAATTTTTGAAATTGTGCCTTTTGTCCCGCATAAGCATAACAAATTCAAAAATATCAAACATGTAACTTCAGCTGACCCCTTCGCTTCTGTTTCAAACTTAATTTTTGAAAGACCCTAATTACGCTTGCGATAAGCAAGCCTTATCAAATTCGTTTATAGGCTTTTTCCAGGTTGACTACTTGTCTAACAGAGACACCGAATAAGTGCCAACAGCGAACGTGCACATTAACTGAAATGCTCAATATTTACAAAGCTTATTTTTAAATACTGGTTGCTATAACAGAGTAGTGGATTTTGCATTTTTTTTTCGAACGCGTGTTTGAAGTCTTGTCAGTCCATGTAAGATACACTTGTCACCGTGAATTGTATAGTCTGTCTATATTGTGAACGAGCTGTTGTTCTCAAAATTGTTTCCCTCGGGGGATCGATCCATGGGATAGGTAAGCTTTAACTAGGATAACAACTAGTTAAACAAAATCACTCGTTAGAAATGATCACCTCTTTCATCTCTAACAATGTTTTGACCTCTAGAGAAGTGATCAGATCACCGTTCTATTCATTTTTTTTTGTTGATTGTAAGTTTACCCATCCCAATTCTGCATGATTTCCGTTTGTTTTTGTTTTCGCTTAAAAGGTTCATTTTAGCGGTTTAGGCTAGTATTAGATCGGTTTAGTTGTCTCGTATTACGACGTTTGAAAGGCGAATATGAAGTTATAGGTTTACGTTTGTGTTCAGGGTACCTAAAGTTTGGAACTTTCAACAATTTGACAATTTAACGTTTGCAATTCTGTTTCAAGGTGCTTTCCTCATTGAAATTCTATCGAGACAGACGTATAAAACTTTTGATTCAGCAGTTCTTTTCGACATATTTTTTCAAGTAGCTTTTCTTTCTCTTTCTTTCTACTAGTTTCACATGCTTTAGAGCTGATTTGAATTAACCGGACAAAACAAACTAATTTTGAAATTTCAAACGCATGTTCCTCAAAGTTGTTTACGAATAGACAAAAAGTGAAAAGAACAAAAGTTGTTCAAAATTTCACCAGAATTAATATGGTGCATCTTTTTTGCCGAATTTCTCAACCAAAACTGACCCCAAAATGGGTCATTTTAGCTTTCTTTTAATTCATCAAGAATTGCGCTGAATCTATTTTGTTTATAGATGAGAAAATAATATCACAAGAAGCCTTTTACATAGTTCAAGAGTTTAACCTCCAAAAACCTCTGTAAGAGAATTGATTTTTGCTCGATTGTAATTTTTACGATAAGAAACCAAAATCTTTGCTTAAAAACAAATTTTAAACAATTTGTGCAATTTTTTGGAGATTTAACCCTTCTAGAACTTTTTTGGGTAAAGTAAGAAGCTTCTTATGATATAATTTTTTCATCTATTAACGGAGTAGTTTCAGCGTAATTCTTGATAAATTAAAATAAGCCAAAATGACCCATTTTTGGGGTACGCTTTGGTTGAGAAGTTCGGCAAAAAATTGCACCATATTCATTGTGGTGAAATTCTAAACAACTTTGTTCTCTTCACTTTTTGTCTAATCTTAACTCAATTTGAGAAAAACGCGTTTGAAGATTCAAGTTTTTTCCGGATAATTTAAATTACTCAGTTATTTCCCTGTGTTGAAACTCCTTTACTTTGGTATAAAATCTAAATTATAGGCATTTAAAACCAAAAGATGAATTGAAATTGGTTTAGTGATCTGAAAAGTAAGTCGAAAATCATTAGTTTCTTAAGGAACGTTGAAGTTATAGTTATGTTGAAATTGCTAATCAGTCTGAAAGTGTCATTTTTATATCATATATAATGTTTTTTTTTGTTTCAGGACAACTTCAACTCTATTTTATCGAATTTAACTGTTGTCAAAGTGACAACAGCGCCAGAAATTGGCGAGTGTGGCGCAGAAAAAGTCAGCTCAAAGTCATCTGGATCCTCTCTTGAAAGTAGGCGGCTGCATACATTTGATCGAGTAAGAGTCAAGACGTGCAAGCGCAGGATGGAAAATAAAGTGTTAGCCAATAAAAAGCAGAAAGATTTGGATGTCATTTTAGGAAGAGCTAATCAGTTAATAACTAGTTTGAAGCAAGGTGTTGACGATGGGGAAACAAATAACATTTCCTCAATTAGCGAAAAACGAATCACTTCATTGGAAAAAGAGAGCTTAGACGTCTCAGATGACGACTTTGAATCAGCTGCTAAAAGACCAATGTTCAAACAAACTTCCGCACCTGTTTCGAACAAGCAGGACGCAGAAAATACGGACCAGAAAAATCAGACGCCCGTAGCTGAAGGATACATTCGCAGTTCACTCTCAATAGACGATTATTTCAAGGCGAAAATGAAAGAAAGGAAGCGAAAATTAGGAAAATGATCTTTAGCTGCCACAGGATATCGCGAGGAAAGAATTTAAGGTTTAATTTTTATTTAATCAAAGCCATGGTGCTAGTGGTAGCTGTGCCTATTTGAATTAATTCAACTCTCCCCGATGAATTTTTAACCAAGATGAATACAAAGCATTTGGTTTCAGATCTGAAAATTTACTCTTGATGCCTTACAATATGCTTTTGAAACGGCTGCTTTTTTAGATATCTACTCATCAGTTTTTGATTTTTTATTGCGTTGGCTTATACTTCGGCTGGTTTATTTACTTTTTCGCAGCCAATTTTTGTAGAGAAACTTAAGTCGTTAGGATTTCATTACTCCAGCATTTCACTGATTGGGTCAATAAACTGTCATCATTGGTGTTATGTCGGAAAAGTTAAATATAGAAAAGGCAGCTGTTTTGATTACTTCTTATTACGCTTGCGAGGAAAGTTTCTTGTAATCGGGAACTAGACTTCTTTGGGCCTACTTTAAGTTTAAATGATCTAGACTGGGGTTTGATTCATTGTGGCACTTGTTTTTCCGACAATTGAAAATTGGGAGGAACTTTGTATTCGGGTGTGTTTTAGTTTTTTTTGTTTTCCACGCAAAATGAGCTACAAATAATCATCGGACAGGGTTGAGTGATATATCATATTAATTTCCGATGATTTTTCTGCTTCCTGATTTCCTTCGGTGCTCTGTATTAAGTTTTTGAATGGTAATGCCGCAGCCTGTACCACCAGCTGGCGCAGCTTTTGGGTACACCGAGGTAGATGATGTAGCACGTCAAAACGCGGATACGATAGCGATAGATAATTTCTTTTGGAGAGCGCATAATCATTGGATCATATAAAATTGTTGAAGCAACCACGATGCTCCACGGCAAACGACTTATTCTTTCTATCTAGTCGTTTGCTGTATTTCCAGTATTTGTCATTCAGATGATATTGAACGAGATCATTCGGCTGAGGTTGCACCAGACATCACAGAAAACTATAAGTTCACTAGTTGAAAAATGCAAAATTGTATCGAAGCGCCAACAAATTAATTTGATAATAGTAAGTTAGAATGAAACGCTACTCAGCAGCAGTTAGGAGACGATAGAGGGCAAAAAGAGTCTTCGAAAAAAAAAAACAATTGAAGCTCGGAATGCACAACAAGCATCCGTGCAAAACATTCAATTTTCTCAGCGAAAAAATTACCCTCAAAGGCTGGGTCATTCTAATCCGGACTCCTAAAACTATCCTATCTCTACAACTCAGGACCATTTGTTACTGTGACATCAGTAGCACAATTTTTTTAAAACATTATCACGGGTCCTAATTTTTTTGAGTCTATATGTACATCGTCCACTGCCTTAAAAATTAGCTTAATCACTCAACTTAAATAAAACAACAAGGGAGGAAGAAGCACTACGCTACGTGCCAATCAGTTTACTTATGCAAGGTTCACAGTTTTTGTATAAGATGCATGCCGTTTCCCAAAGGTTTTGGAAATTTAAAATCAGAAAGTAATTCATGATTCTGACATCATGCTTAGTCAATACACACAAATAACTCGCCTCAGGGAAACCAGTTAGGTCGCAAACTGAACCTGAAAAGCAATTCAAATAAGATTTTTCCTATTTTAAAATTAGTTCACTGAATGCATGACATAACCTGCATCATCATTGGTCTTGCCTTTTATAAGAAATATGGCATGCGTTTGACTTATGGCTGGAATTAGGTGGCAAAAATAAGAAAACTCAATTTTGTGTGAATTACGTTCCCCACACGGAGTTTGACAGAGAAAATGAGGTGAGGTTTGATGACATACACGAAAAAACGATGCTTGGTAGTCCGAGTGACCTAATTTTGATTTCCTCGTCATTGATTAAAACTTCTATACTGTAACATTCAAATAAACAAAATTACGATTGCATAAACTGTTGATTACGAACCTTGAAAAAAGCAAAAAAAATCGCGGTTATAGAGAAAAAGTTGACAATCAAAGGGCTGCAGGAGTAATTCATTGAATGAAAAGAAAAAACTTAGGACGTAAATCTCCTTGATGTACATGGCCTTGTTTAAAATAGGGGGGTTAAGTGCCATGTCTTCATATCAGCACCTTGAACACAAAATCGTTCATAGTGTCGAGCATCTTAATCTACACGCAATCCCATTTACAATTTTAAACAAGGATTGCCGTATCAGATTGCTTTGCGATGAAGCTTTTGCGTTGTTCTTTTCTTAATGAAATACTGTTAGAAAATTAAAATTATCTTTATAATAGTAGCACCCGATCTTTGGGTGGACTCGGCCGAAGTGACCTACTTCAATATGCAGTAAATAGCTACAACATTTGCAAATATTGTTCATAAGATGAACTCTTCAACTAAAGACAAGGAAGTTTCAACTTCGAAATATATTCAATAATATGATCTATTCAACTATAGATGTGTCAAGTTCCACCTTGATTGTGCCAACGTTATTACAAGCCGGTTGCTGTGCAAATAGCACAGAATGTTCCCACCATATTAATAAAAAACTAGAAAAAAGGTTTCTTTGGTTATCAATGTCCTTTTAGTGAGTATTGTGATTCGAGAATTATACAAACGCGTGATAGGTTAGTGAATTAGGCAAGATCGACAATATTTTTCTTCAGAAAATGAATTAAAAAAAAGAAAAAAAATGTATTTCAGTTTAAATTAGCCAAAATTTGATGAGATGCTCACAAAACTAATTGAAAGGTAAATGTTATATTTTAAATTTAGTTATCGCTCTTTCTTGCTTTTTCCACTTAATTCCATTACCCTTTCTAGAAAAAATTGCCAGAATTTGAGACACAAAAATGGCAAAAAAAGAAAGCGTCTCGTTCGGAGATCAATTTGGCTGAACATTCTCTGCTATTTGCAAAGCAATCTGATACTCTTTAAGAGTTGATAATCGTAAATCAGACTCTTATATAGGTATTGATGCTTTTTTTAAGGAAAAGTCTGCTCTTTTTCCTTTTCTCCCCACGTTGCAGGAGCAGCGATTTTATGGTGTAACGAGAGATTTTAGAAAGTTGAGTATGATAACCAAGTATGTTTTTCGTGGCATATTAAGTTCTGATGTCAATTTTGATAACATTCGGATAATGCGAACAATAATTTGGTTTGTAAAAATATGAAGAGGGGAAACAGCAGAAAAGTCTTTTTCGCGGTTTGACTTCTTTCCAAGCTCATTTCATTTTCTTTGCTAAGAGGAAGTCATCTTCTACTATTTAACAGTAAAAGTGTAAAGGTCACTAAAAACGTCATTGACTTCTAATTTCGAAAAAGGATTTTCGCAAAAACGTGTCAGATTTCCCAGTAAAAAGTTTACGTATTGATCCAGTTTTCTCAAACTGGCTTAATTTTATCGAAAAAGTATCGATCATAAACTGTTTTTAGCAATTCAAAGAGCTGTACTGGTATCTATTTTTTTTCTGAAATTTGAAAGTTTCTATTTTTTCAAAAACGAAACATGGGTACACTTGCGTTCATCGACTGTTTTCCGACTGTCTGTTGGCTATGTTCTTTACTTTTGGTGTACCTTAGAAAAAAATAGTTCAAAATATTAGCTTTGAAGCTATTTCTTTTTATTTTGAGTTGGTTTGACAGGGGCGTCTAAATCATTTATCACTTCGTTTGATGCATTTCATCCGAAACTGAATGGTATCTGAAAAAGGTAAGTTGTTCAATTAGATATCGCCCGAGTACCCACCGATTACTGAGCAATCAAGAATATATTTGTCTGGCTAAGGTGTGATTAGACAATCTGATGTAAAAATTGAACACAGAGCAACTGAAGTTTAAAACTGGACCCGTAAGCCGCACTCCCACGTGGTCCAAAAATTAATCAATTGGTTTGAGCTGTTCATGTTATGGTGAGGGTTACAGAATCTGTTCTTGTAGTTTATTCAAGGTCTGTTCAAACTGCGAGCCTTCTGTTCTCATGGTGGTACATTGCTTAATCAAGTGAGATATTTCAAAGAATGAGTTAGTGGTCGATTAACCTAGCCTGTGATTTGGGTTGTGTAAGTATGGTATTTGTTGGTGTTTTCTAAACATTTAGTCTTATCAGCTGCTATGTGTGTTTTACGGTCCTAATCTACCTCTGAATTAAGCAATCAAAACGTTCTGCTTGATATTTGGTAAGGTAAACCTGTGCTGATTAATAGCCAAATTGGCCTACATGTTTGGTCACTTTATGCAATTCACAGTAGTTCCGTTTCAGGTCTTGTCTTGTATGATCTATGCTTGTGCTGCCACTGCTATCTGTATACGTGCAACTTCTGGTCTGACTGTTGTGAATGCTTTGCATTTATTGACCACTCCAACTAAATCTGTTCTGACGCGAGTTTCATTCAACATATCGACCACTAGAATGACGACAGCAGCAGCTAGGTACCCTCTAGAGCCTAGAGGCAAACTATACACTGAGAGTTATCGACTCTTTTTCAAAAATGAACACGGCCAACCCATTTCGCCCTTCCACGACATTCCTCTCAGAGCATCCGAGGAGGAAAATGATGTTTTCAATATGGTCGTCGAGGTGCCCAGGTGGACAAATGCTAAGATGGAAATCAGCAAATCTGAGCTTCTTAACCCAATTGTGCAAGACGTGAAGAAAGGAAAGATGAGGTTTGTGTCCAATGTCTTCCCACACAAGGGTTATATCTGGAATTACGGGGCGTTTCCCCAGACATGGGAAGATCCTAAAATCGAGCACCCCGGAACATGTGCGAAAGGTGACGACGACCCACTGGACGTGTGTGACATCAGCTCCTTGGTTGTTCCGCAGGGATCCGTCATTCAAGTGAAAGCCCTAGGAATTCTGGCGATGATTGACGAGGGAGAGACGGACTGGAAAGTGATTGCGATCAATACGCAGGATCCTCTCGCACAACACATGAAAGATATTGCGGACGTTGAAAAGTTCAAGCCTGGTCTTCTTCACGCAACTCTAGAGTGGTTCAAGTACTACAAAGGTAATTTCGAATGATATGCACCCCTATTAAGACATGTTATTTGATTGCATTAGTTTCAGGCTTGGCATTTACTGAATCTTATATGCTATTCATGAAATAGGGACCATAACTGTAGGTGTAATTTTTGGTTGCGAAGTTCAGTAATTCAACCATTTTGCAAGAAAAAGTCGGCGTTCTTTTTAGTTCCCGACGGAAAACCTACAAACGCTTTTGGCTTCAAGAACAAGTTCAGGAACCAGCAATTCGCTCTTGAAATTATCCACGAAACACACGACTACTGGAAAAGGCTACTGGGCCTGGACGGAGCCGAACCCCAGTCGGATGAAGACTGTGGTATTAAACGTGCCTCGACGTGCATGGCCGAATCTAGATATAATATTGGAGTCGAGGAGGCGCAAAATTTTGTAGACAGCTGCGCTGAATTCGATAGAGAGGAAGCTCCGATCGAAGACTCGAAAGCGACTGAGTTCTTTTTCATTAACGCCGCTTCCGTTCTTACCACGAGTGAAGTGACGGCGGAGAGCGGTCAAGGGGATGCACCCGTAGAAAATGGAAATGATGGGCAATCGGAAGAACCTAGTGCTGAAAATGGAGCAATTGAGGAGCAAAATGGACCAGAGGCGAATTCCACTGATCACGCTGCAGGTGACGCAGCCGGCGAAGACCAGTCGATTCCGACCAAAACTGTGGAGGAGTCACCGGCACCTGAGGAAAACGCGGAGACAAATGAGAACTAAAACTGAAAACTGTTTGAAAATAAAGCTGCTAATTTGTGGGCGCTGAATGTTTTAAGTGTCGATAATTATTTAAATCACTAACGAATGTATGAGCTAAATAAAGTATGCTGAGTTAATGAAAACATTGTTTCCGTTCACGAATCCTGGTCACGCTGTAAAGAAAATCCTTGCGTTACATTGGCTTATGTTGAATTCGTCGTTTGATTTGTTAATTCGGATTGATTTGAAACTAAGTTAAAATTTATTATTTGATTTCGTAGATTAGTTTTGTGAGATTTGTAGCTGATGTGCTACTCAAAAAAGAGCCCAGTGAATAGTTTTTTACCTTACCCTAGCCTGCATCACATTATTATTCAGTCGAAGCATACTCTTGTTAGCGGAATTTGAGTGATGCGGAATTTTTTGAGGGTGTATGAACGATGTGAAGATTCTAATAAAGGTCGTGATGATTTTTTTCAGGAAAAGTGTTCATTTTGAAAGTGTTCTTTTATTGCGGTATGTGCATAAGATCAATAACCAGCTCTTAAGTACAGCCAATGCTAAGGATATTAAAACAGACTACTATAGAACAAATAACCATTTAGCTTCAAGGTATCATGGATCTAGAGCGTAGAGGTAGGGAACGAGACCCGCAACAAAAAAAGATAGTTCGAACCTGGGCAGGGTCGGATGTTTTGAAAGAAATTTATTGGTATACTAGTTAAAATGCATCCGCTCTATAGATAGAGGCATGTTAGTTGGTAAATTTTTTTTCAAATCGACTGGTACTGCTGATGCGTCATAATTGGCTTGCGTCACTTAGCAATTATGTAGACTCATAATTGGCGTGCGTCACTTGAGATTTTTTCTTTTTATTGTTTTTTCTCTGTTTATCTCGACATTTGAGTGCTGTGACTTCCGCGCCAACAAATTGTAAAATGTCACTCAGGTGAATATTTTTATATGATGGAACACTGCGACTTCCGCGGTTACCATCCTGCAAGTTTGAAGCCTTAACTGCGACTTCCGCGGTGTTGCTCAGGCAGAAATCAGAAGATATGTAAATAAGTATTGAAATGTGTGTGTATGAGTTCTTGGTTTTGTCGGAATCTCAATAGGTTATACTGCGACTTCCTCTGTACAATTACAAATTTGGTCAAAATCTATACAAAACACACAAAAACAAAAAGGGAAAGAAAGGAAAAATAAATCGAGAATAATAAAACAGAAACAGAAATCGCAGCGGGGAAAAACGGATTGGTTACTTTTCGGATTGGTAACCAACGGATTGGTTACTTTAAGATAAAGTACATGTCTCGGCTCGTACTTCTACAAATTATTAGATCACTTTGTAAAAATTTTAGTAAAATGGAAGTTTTTCTTTCAGAACTGGAATGTAAACCACTAGCAATATCATTAACAGAGAAATGGTGCAATGAAAAAACAAACAAAAATGCGCTAATTCTTAATGAATATCAAATATTATTGCATGCAATAGAGCAAAAAGAGGTGGGGGCGTAGGAATATGTATCAAAAAAACAACACGAATATCAAATCATAAAGCGACTATGAACCATCATTTACAAATTTTATCAGTAGAAATGTTGAGAGAGGTAGAAAACTTGGTTTCAACCATGATACAAATCTTCAAACGCTGGATCAGATGAAACTTAAGACTTTCTACAAGAACACATGCTGAGTGTAAAAAGCCAAACGAATTGCTAACACATACTTTGCGGAGATATAATCATAAATGTGATAGAGGACAACAAAAATACCAAAAATATCTTAACAAGGATTGCAGCTAAGATTAACGAGCAACCCAACTAGAGAAACAGCTAAATCACAGACCTGGATCGATGTTTTTTTCCAAAATTTTCAAGCTCTGCAAAAACAATAGTAACCGCAATATCAGATCATCATTGTGTATACATAAAAACTGAAGAGGCTTTGAGTGAAAAGAACGAAAATGATTATTTAACGCTAAAGACATTGAACAGACCCTTCAAGAGACTTCAATTGAAAGAAAAACAACTAGACCTCAATTATTTGATTTACAAAGACTTACAGTTAACTGAAAGCGCATTTTTCTCTAGTTCCATTGATGACCTGACTTGTAAATTAAATGTAAGTTTACTATCAGCATTGCATAAAATAATACCAGAAAAAGAAATTATTTTCCGCCCTAATTACAAAGATTGGGTGACCAATCGGGTCAAAAATATAGTAAAAAATTTCAGGGAGCTTGGGAAACTTTTTAAAACTATAGAAATTAAACAAAAGTGTTAATCAGGACAATTAAAACCAATTACTATGAAAAGAAAAGGATCAATCAAAGGATAGTTAAAAAAATTTGTTCCAATTAACCAGAGAAATTGATGGTGTTCACACTAATCAGAGAGTAGAGTTCAATCCCGAGTAGAGTTCAATCCGAGATGAACGGCTAATTTTAAATATAGGGAAGGGACCAGCAAAAAACTTCGAACTTCCAATGAATTTTGAAAGCGTAGAAAAAAGGACTGAGTCAATGGTCTTTCAGAAAACAATCGATCATGAAGTTTTCTTTGTGTCATTAAAATTTGAAAAACAGAACATCAGCGGACTGTGAAGGCTAAAATGACTATCTAATTAAAATTATAAATCCCGCCGTATGTAGTTATCTTGCCAGGCTGTTCAATCTTTGCTTTGAGGAGCAGTACTTTCGTCGAGCTTTGAAAGTTGCCCGAATAATACCGCTTTTTAAGAGTGGAAAGAAAGATAACTCTGCAAACTGGAAACTACAGACCAATTTCTTTTCTTCCGGTAATCAGTAAAGTGCTTGTGAAAACTTATCTGTAACAGAATGAAAGTTTATATTATCGCGAAAATTTTGACGCCTAATCAATTTGGATATCAATAAAAAAAATCAACAGTAGATGCAGTTTTTGATGTTAACGAGACCATTTCGAAAAGTTTACCAGCTAAAGATATCAGCATGTACCTTAATTGATTTGTCCAAAGCATTTGATACCGTTAATTCCTCAATTCTTCTTGAAAAATGTTTTCGATATGGATTCCCAATTCACGAATTTCTGAACTCATACATTGAAAACAGATACCAATGTTGATAATGAAAAGCAGTTATCACAGAAACGTTCGATAGTGTGTGGGGTGCCCCAAGCTTCGGTGCTTGGTCCCTTACTTTTTCTGGTAGATGTGAACGAACTTCCTGAAGTATGTACCAATTACAAAATAAATGTTTTCGCATATGACACAACATTGTTTGGAACTGTTGAAGATGAAGGTAAGTCAATGCCCGACGAATTACAGCGTATTTCGTTATGGATGGAGAGCAATAAGCTTGCAGTAAATGAAGGTAAAAGTTAAGTTCTCCAATTCAAGCCAAAATTAAACTGCAAAATCTAATTGAACAGCAAAAATTAGAGCATTAGAACTAACAAATGAAATGAAATATCTAGATTAGTTATGTTTAAAAAAAAGTACATGTCTCGGCTCGTGTTACGAAAAGCTTAAGTTTTTTGTAAGCAAGCACAAAATTTTGTAAGCAAGTTTTTTCTCAAACTGATTTGACTTTTGAAATAACTTGAAATTTTTGAAAGGTTCACAGCTTTAAAAGCTTGTTTAGAAAAACTTTAAGCTTTTCGCAAACTAATTCGGTTTATGTAATAACTTGAATTAAGTCAATTTTTATAGCTTAAAAAGCTTGCTTAGAAAAACTTAAATTTCTCGCGAACCGTTTCAGTCTATGAAATAACTTGGAACAAATCAAAGTTTCATGGCTTGAATAGCTTGCATTAATGGCTTGAATTAACTTGGAACAAATCAAAGTTTCATGGCTTGAATAGCTTTCCGGAAACTGATTCCGTCTATAAAATAGCTCGAAATACTTTGAAATTTTCAGCTGAAAAAGCCTGCCCAAAAAAGTTTCGCTGTTTTTGCGAATTGATTCGCTCTAGGAAACAACTTGAAAAAATTCAATTTTTCATCACTTGAATAGCTTCCACAGCAAAATCAAAATTTTTAGTATCCGATTTGCCTCATAAAACATTTGGAAATGTTCTAAGTTTCATAGCTTGCTTAGAAAAACTGCAACTTTTTGGGAACCGATTCGTTAATTTTTTTGCGAGCCAATTGATTATTGGTGGCGGGCTTGCTATTATCAACTGAAACTAAAACCGATAACAAAAGTTAGCGAAGTTTAGTTTTGTGTAGTTTTATTTGTTTATGAGCACAACTCCCGTTTCTAACTGGACCAAAATTCAAGCAACAATTTGGGTCATTATCTCTGTAAGGCGTAAATAGTATTGTAGTTTGAGAGCATATCTTATAGTCTGAGATGAGATCCATACTGTTTGCAGACACTGTTCTGTGGGGTTCCCCAAAGAACATGAAGGTGCAAGGGCGCTTCACTTCTGGAATTTTGGCCCTGTAATTTTCACAAGCCACCAGAGCACACATTTTGGAGTTTCCAGCCGCTTCGATGAGGCGGGGTCGTACTTAATGGTTCCCGAGTTCCTGAACTTCAAGGTGTCACAAGTGATCTGCGATTGACTTGGACAAAATGCCAGAAGAGAAGCGCGCTTGCAGTGTATGACAAGAAATTGATGAACGAATCAAAGAATTATTTTAAGCGCTGATTAATGGCGATGTAAACGATGAAGAAGCGGGACAAGAGGTTAATATGGACGGTAAGTGTGAACCGATGGTCCACGTCGTTTCACAAGATCCGAAGTCTGATCTGAAGGAAACCATTATATTTGCGCAACGTGACACAGATGGAAGTGACAATAACCCAAAATTAAACAGCCTCCTCCCACCCCACCCCGAAGAGTGCAGGTCCGAAAAGCGCTATGGAGAGTGCAGATCCGAAGTCTGATCCGAAGGAAACTATTATCACGAAGAACGGAGAGTTACCCCAAAGTTGAACAGCCTCCCCCGTTCAGCCTCGAGAGTGCAGATCTGAAGAGTGCTGAAGAGAGGTATGGAGAAGATCCGAAGGAAACTAATATTTCGAAGAACGGATAGTTAGCCCGAAGTGAAAAAGCACCCCCCCCCCCCCCCCCCCCCGAGAGAACAAAGCGTCAGTAAAAGCGACAGCAGCAGCAGCAGACCTGAAAAATAGTTACCATGTCACAAAGCTCAATTGTGTCGCAATTAGTTTGTTCTTTTGATGGTTTGGAGTAATAAAGAATTAAAAGAATATACTGAAGAATCTACTAATTAAAAACGGAATTAAAACATTTTGACCTGAACGAGATAATTGTTTTAAGGCCAGCTTCT